TCAATGGTTGTCATTTATATGTATGAATGAATAGATAGAGATGAATATAAACAAAGGTAAATTTCCAACGAACAAAAGACAGGTGTGTTTCGACAATATGATGATTATATTCAAGGTATTTTACCTGATATTAGTTTGTTTCTCAATGGTTGTCATTTATATGTATGAATGAATAGATAGAAATGAATAAAAAGAAGGATAAATTTCTAACGAACAAAGGACAGGTATGTTTTGACATTATTTTGTTAGATTCAAGCTATTTTGACGGATATTAGTTTGTTTTTCAATGGTTGTCATTTTTATATATGAATGAATAGATAGAGATGAATAAAAAGAAGGATAAATTTCTAACGAACAAAAGACAGGTATGTTTTGGCAGTATTTTGATTATCTTCAAGCTATTTTGATGGATATTAGTTTGTTTTTTTATGATTATTTTATAGCTGTGTGTCGAAGTATTGAGAGAAGAATGGAGAAGAATGTTAGGTTTGTGTCCGTTGAATGCTGGGACTGCTTTGACGAGATGATGGGGAGATATTGTTGTTCTGTAGAATTTTAGGGAAGTGGCAATGATGATGGATCGGAGGGTTCCCAACTTTAAGCAGAATATTATAATGGGTGTTATTGTTCTTTTGAGTTGTTTTGATTATTCGTTGGATACTACGTGGTAGAAATATATTTATTCCTTAATATCGTGGCGGAAAATAAGTTTACAAAGTGGAGTTCATATTTTCGTTTCGTTGTTGCGCCTGGGTTGTGTGAATTTCTTGGGAAGTATTAACGTTTGTTTCTTTTGTTTGTCAACGCGTTTTTGTAAGAATTACTGCTTTTGTTTTTGTCGGTGTGATTCGTGTTGAGTTTGATGGCATGATTTGAATATTTTTTATAGGAAAATATAATCTGTCACTTTGTTAAAAATGTTTGTCTTTCGCATCTCTGTTTTCCGCTGCATTTGCATCATTCTGGCAGATGTTAGTGTGATTATGTGTTGTATGAAAAAAATGGTTTCACGCAGGTGTGGAATGTATTTTTTCTATGATTAGTAGCCAGTCTCTGGCTCGATGTGTATTTGTCGGCGAGATATTATATGGAGACTTGTTTTGATAAGAAGTACCATCAGCGACATGGTATATGAAGTTAGCATTTTCGAT